TTTTAAAAAAATGTGCGACGTCGTCGACCTAGGCGGGGCGATGGTGTGCATATATATATATATATATATATATATATATATATAATACTGTTCGGTAGCGAGCGATCCGCGTATCGGTTTACTGTCGGACTGGTACGTACCGCTCGTACCGGACGGTATTATTCGAAACTATATACCTTGATGCTACCCCCCATCTATAACTAATTTGCAAGTTCTTTCCCCACTTCGGATGAAAGTATGTAAGATACATGTCCTCTTCCATTTATTGCAATCACTAGTAGTAGAGAGAATAATGTGGACAACATTAACATGAGCATCCTTAATTTCTAGTTCGTTTTCATCACCTGAGTAGGCTTTGGGTTCAACTACTTAGTCTACTTTTTCGATTTGATCCTGTGATTCTTATTTTAAGATAAGGGTACGTTGAGGATAACGAGAGGCAATGTGACCTTTATTATGACAATAATGACATTAGATTGAAGACGAACTAGTTTAAGAATCAATACTTGAATGAGTTGGACAATTCATGGTTGGGTCAGGATTGTTGCTAGTTGTGGGATTTTTTTACTTGACAAAGCCACTACATGGTGTAGATTGGGTACTAGTTTAAGAATCAATACTTGAATGAGTTGGACAATTCATGGTTGGGTCAGGATTGTTGCTAGTTGTGGGATTTTTTTACTTGACAAAGCCACTACATGGTGTAGATTGGGTACTAGTTCTGTTGTCAAGAGACTGAGATGATACTCGACGAATTGGATAAAGTTTGATATACTTCTCAATCTCAAGGGCTCGTCGGGAAGCTTCCTCCATGGTGTCGGGGAAACTAAGGGAGACTTCCCGTTGGATCTCAAACCTCAACCCATTAATAAATCTTCGAACAGTGATGATTTGTTCTTCTTTTATTTCACACTTAAGTAAAGTTCCTCAAATTGGGTCAAATACTCTACCACATTAGAATTCAATTATTTAAGATTTAACAATTGTTAACCAATTGGCTTCAAAAGTAGGTTGGTAAATATATATTTTTTTAAGTTTTTATTCATGACTTTCTATTGAGTGATGGGAGGCTCTCGACGGTGTTCAAGACTACATTGGACATATTGTCAATATTTCCTAGCGGGCTCTACTAGTTTTATTTTTGCAAATAATACACGTTCAATGTCAATCAGGTTGTTAATTGTTGCAATGCACAAGGTGGAAATGTAATATTCAAATGGTTCTCACTTTTTTTCCTCACTTTTTGTTTTGTTTTATTTTTTATTTTTAGACAACTTTCAAGGGTTCAAATTCTAGTGGTACTATAGTTGTAGCTAATGGGGAGAGAGAGATGGGGAGAGAGAGGGTGATAAATAGGGAAAAAAAAGAGAAAAAAGAGAACCACGATCTAATGAAATATATGAATTTTATTTTCGATAAAAAATATTAATAAAGTTTTCAAAAAATTTACCCAGCACTAAGAGCTATGTGGTCCACTAATTTTGTAGGGACAATCGCCCTAAAGTCCAACTCCACACGTAAGGGGTTGACGTTAGAGGTGTAAGGATCCTTGAGTGATCAAAGCTTTCATTGCTAGTTAGAACCCAATGGGGTATAGGGCAAGTTTCTTAATGGCTCTTAATGGGCTCTGATACCAAACTGATGTAGAATAATAGAGTAGGGAAGTAGAGAAAGGGGAAGAGAAAGAAGGAGAAGTGTGAGATACGAGAGGAAAGTAAGAGACTAGAGAAGATATAATTCTTGTCATTCCAATCTGAAGTGTTTGATCTATTAACAAGCTCCACTATTTATAGGGGTTTAGGAGGTTTGGTACAATTAACAAAGACAATGATTCCCAATATTAATCTCCTAAGGAATCTATATGTCTTTTAGAAATCCAAAATGTGACTTCTGGGATACCTAAATAGTAAATGAGTACACTTAATACAATAGTACACTTAATACAAAAGGAGTCCGATCAAAAGACTTTACAATTTTCAACACAACTCTTAGAATTTCTAGGCCAACTAATAGATGAATTTTTTATTGATTTTTTTCTTAGAATAAACTTTAATGAAATCCTTTCTAAGGCTAGATGGTTCTCTATCACATTTCTTCATTACTACTAAATTACATGTTTTGTTAGACCGAATGCAAAACTGGAGCACCCAACCTACATGAAAAAAAATCCTTTCTCATTGATCCTTTTCATTGTCTTTTTTTTTTCTCTTTTATTCTTATTCTCTCCTTATCTCTCTTAATTTTATACTTGTTTTTCTGCTTTATGGTTGTTAGAGTTGATATTTTTAGTTATATTCTTATTACATATGTCACTCATGTTCTCTCTCTGTTACAAATTTCCTGCAGATCCTCTGAGAGAGAAACCTGAGAAAATTCTAGAAGAACCTGAGATGGTTGTCAATGATGATGTATGTGGGCCAGAAACACCTAATAGATCTACAGAATTGAGCAAAGAGCATGGCTACAGTCACACTGAACCACACTTTCCAGAGCATGAAGCATGGAGTTCAAATGTTAAGGATTTGACATCTTCTAAGTTTCCCAAGTCTGCTCACAATTTTGTTAATGCTCTTAAGAAGAACAGATCATGTCAGAAGTTCATTAGGAGGAAGCTACTAGAAATTGAAGCAAAGATTGAGAAGAATAAAGAACTGAAGGAACGTATTAAATGTCTTATGGACTTTCAAGTTGCCTGTAAAAGGAAAGTGGCAAATATTTTATATCAAAAGAAGGATCCTCGTATCACGTTAATATCTTTGAAGAGGTCCACATCTGAAAAGTCATCAAAGGTAGAGATCTAATCTGGCAGTTCTACATTTTGAAATACATGTTTGGTATACATCCCTTGATTGTATTTCTGTAACATGTAACTATAGCCTTTACATGCTCATAGATTATATATGGGGGCCTTTCTGTACACCTACTGCCTGTATGTATGCAGTGCTAGGAAAAAAATTTGCTTTCATAAATAGCATGTTTTCAAGCTTAGGCCCAGCTCAGGCTCGGCCAGTTCACAACAATAAAGAGCCAAATCTGAAGTTGAATTATATGTATGTATGATTAATGAGCTGAGTGCAAACAAGCCCATGATCGTCAGGTTTGGCCCGACTTGGGTTTGTTCTAACAGATATTTATATTATATATATTTACAGCATTTTCTGAAACATTAAATCTCATCTAATGGGATTTAACTGGACCTAAGTGAAATGTGGGGCTGAGCACTGATGATTTAATATCTGCTTGTTAGATTTTAGTTCAATGATTTGGGCTTACCCTCAAACCAATATAAAGTGACT